AAGCAACGGAGAGACCTCACACTAACCTCATCCCCACAGATTAGTCCTATCAGCCAGTGGTTCCCAGCCTTGAGTAGCCCAGGTATTCTTGGACTGCATGTTCCAGAATCCTTCACCACTGACCAAGCCAGCTGAGAGCTACACTTCAAGACCACCCGGATTATCCAAGGTTGGGAACCACTGATATAGCCTAATCTATTGGGGCGGGGTTAGAGTGAGAAATCTCTCTATATCCTACTACCACACTAATCTATATGAGAATCTCTGGTAAGGTAAAGGTAAAGATTCTCCTTGACTATTTGTCCAGTCGTGTCTGACTCTAGAGGGCGGTGCTCATCTCCGTTTCCCACCCATAGAGCTAGTGTTTGTCCGAAGACAATCTTCCGTGGTCAAGTGGCCAGCGTGACTAGACACGGAAAGCCGTTTACCTTCCCATCGAGGTGGTCCCTATTTATCTACTCGCATTTTGCATGCTTTAGAATCGCTAGGTTGGCGGGAGCTGGGACAAGCGACGCGAGCTCACTCCGTCGCGTGGATTCGATCTTACGACTGCAGCACAGAGGCTTCTGCGGTTTAACCCGCAGCACCACCACGTCCCTATATGAGAATCTCTGGTAGAGAAGGTGTATAGAGGGAGCTCTATGCCCTCTCATAGGTAATGCCATACAGAGTGTTCTTTCCTTTTTGGACAAAAATGTGTTGTATGACTTTGTTGTGGGAGAAATGGAGCATTCTCGTTCTACCACCATCCTCCCAAGCATTGGTGTTTTGATTCATGTCATGTTTTTCCAGTCATGGAGGTGTAGAGTTGGAATGGACTCTAAGGTTCATCTCCTCTATTCCTGCTGATGCAAGGAATTTATTTCTAAAGCATCCCTGACCCTCCATCTGAACTCTTTCAAGAGAGCTCATTGCCACAGGGGATGGGGGTGGGTGGGCTGCATTTAAGTTATTAGGAGAGCTCGTGGTTCCTAACTTGTAGCTACCATTGCCACACAACAAAATACTTTACCTGGAATAGGCAACCTCCAGAGATCAATCTCTCAATATTTTTCTTCACAAATGATTTATCTTTAGAGCAGAAAGGTCCTCTCATGCCTTCTAGTAGACATGAGCAAGGCAATTAAAATACAACCCTTTGGAGGTCACTAATTCATAGGATTACCATGAGCCAGCAGTGATTCGATAGCACATAACAAAAATATGAACAAAATATTGATGTTTGAAGTTCATGTCTGCAAAATAGATTTCAATGCAAGGATTAAGTAGTTGTTGGTTCCAACATGCCCTTACTGTAACACAGTGGTTCACAAACGTGGGTAATCCAGGTGTTCTTGGCCTGCAACTCCCAGAAACCCAGCCAGCACATTTGGTGGTGAAGGCTTCTAGGAACTGCAGTCCAAGAACACCTGGGCTACCCAAAGGTGGGAAAGTTTGCCATTCTATAGGTAACTTTCTATAGCAGAAAGTTTGGCACTTCGTAGGTAACTTCCCCTTTTAGTTAACCACAACTTCTTGTATCAACTGCATCTGGAAATGTGGTTAACATTAGCCTTATTCAGGTGTTTGTGTGAATGTCTGAATTAGTATATTCATGATGGAGATGTGCAAGTTGTGCTCAAGAATAACCTTACCATCCAGAAGTCTGCTCCACTTTCATACATTGAGAATGAAGTCTGAAGAGGAGACTGTGTGTTTATCTCAGTACGGTTCCCAATTATGAAACCTCTGTCGGCACATACAGCAAAAAATGCTTAGTCTTCTTCAGAACTTAGTGCTCAGTGCACTGAAATCTAGCTGACTTCAGATGAGTTGTGGGATGTATGCACACATCTCCATAGCCACATAAATAAAGCCTTCATGTGACCAAATGAACATCTGCATAGGGTACCTACCTTTTGTTGTTGTGTAGTTGTTAAGTCATGTCCGACTCTTCGTGACCCCATGGACCAGAGCATGCCAGGCCCTCCTGTCTTCCACTGCCTCCCAGAGCTGGGTCAAATTCATGTTGGTTGCTTCGGTGACATTGTCCAACCATCTTACATTCCAGGTTCCTATGTTCAGTTTAAATAGGCCAACTTTGTTTTCTAGTTTAATAATATCTTGTTTCAAACTGACTTTAGTTAGTGTCTGTACAGTTTGCCAATGCATATGTAGGAATGATAATTCTTGCTGTTCTTGATCTAACATGTGAGACAAGGGATTACAAAATTATTCTTGCTCTGAAAGAGGGTTTTGTGGTGCTGTGAGCAAAAGAACAGAATGCAAATGATCATGATTTGTTGGACAAATTAAGCGAGACTGCAACAAAATAACACTTTAACATAAATAATACTTTGGTGCATCTAAAGTGCTTGTTCAGACTGGCATATAGATCAGTATATGAATTGTTGTTGGTATGGCTTGCTTTGAACCAGACCATGGCATCCGCATACTACTTAGAAGACTAATCTATCTTGACCTTTTAAGAGCTGTTGCACAGTGGTAGGGCATGTATTCTTTTTGCTACAATTCAGCCTGATCATAATTATCTCATTGTGTAGCCTGTGTGGACGATTAGTTTGCACCCAAATGGAGCTGTGGGCAGTGTTATCAGAGGTTACTCTGTGAGACAATGGGTATGTTGTGACATTAAAAGTGAGGGCAGAGAAATCCCCTTCTCTGTTTTTTTTCTTTCTTTTAAAAAACGTATCCCTAATTGTTGCAGTGCAATCTAATACCACACTAGGTAAATGCATTGTTCTCTTAATATCCACTTATTTTATTTGACAACAAAAAGCAAGTCACTGTTGGTTACCTCTTTTCCGTCTCCTCAAGCTTTACTCCCAAGTTTTTCCCCTCCTGCCACTACTACCACCTGAGCTTGCCTGCCACTGCTGCTGCCTCCTTACTCGTGAATAAACTGAGTGAAATTTACATTTACACAAGAGTGTGGAGAATGCTTAGACAAATTGCAGAGACCACGAGGAGGAGGAGGAGAAAAAGGATTCCCTACTTTGTTTGGAGGTGAGGAATCTCACGGGGCTTAACAATTCTTGGTTGAGCTGTTTCAACAAGTCGAGACAGCCAACATTGATGAGAATGAAGAATTTAGCTAGCATTCTTGGTATTCCTACCCAGATGACATGCAGATCCACAATTAATAAGTAGTGGGAATAAAGGCTTTCAATCTCCTCATCCCAGTTGCATAGGAGGAAAACAGAGGAAAGATGTGCCCGGAGTTGACATTTGCTGTAGTTCTCGCACATCGACAACAAAAGTGGTTTCTTTGGATGTCTCAATGTTGGTCTCAAACCAGACAAGGGCCTGCCTGTTCCTCTGAAATTACCTGTGTCTACCTGTGTCTATAGTGGGAGCCATTTCACATTTCAGTGAGAGTTGAGCCAAACCCATTTCAGTAGGGCCAGATAAGGTCATCAGAAATGTTTAAAGGCCATTCATTCTTTCATTTATTTATTTTTAAAGTTGCCTTGAAAGCTACTTTCAAAACTGTAAAGCAGGCACTGCTTTTTAGAAACAGAAGCTTTATAATCCTGCTGAATCCACATAAGATAGCTGTAATAGTTTTTAATGTGAAATTACACAAAGAAGTGGCCTATGTTTTCATTTTTTGTGAAAGACCGAAAAAAGAGGGAATATCTTTCAGATTATTTTTTATCCAATTGTGTAATTTCTTGTTACACAGTTGGATTGTACTTCTTAGAAGTAACAGTTTGTGCAGTATTACAACTGAGGTTTTTTATGCATTTTTCTCTGGACTCAACTAAAGAAAATATGGCAAGGAGAGAAAATTATTTGAGACAGTTATGCTGACCAGCAATGAGTACTCCTGTTTTGAAAACAACGTTGAACTCTAATTTTCTGCAGTATACAGTTTGCAGGTACCATTTGTACTCATTATAGTATATTGAGAAAGTTATTAAAAATGCTTAAACTTGTTGCAGTGTCCTGTGACACCTTCCCTGCCTTTAATTGGGTTTTATCGAGTTCTAGAAAAGTGCTCTTTTAAAGCTAATCAGGGTCCGTAACACAGCCTCTTTTACCCAATTGTGAGATGTAGATCATTAACTAAAACCAAGCACCTTTTTTTCTAAATACAAATATCTGAATGATCTGGATGACAAATTAAGGAAGTAATTTATACCTACTTAGATGCGTACCATTTCCAAATGATGGAGGAACAACTGCTTTGTAACATAAGGGTTAAATCTTAATCTCAGAGGTTTGCAAAGCTGCTAGTCGCAGTCTCCTTAAAATTTAATATACCTCGTTAATGCTTACTTGCAAACACTGAAGGATTTTTATGATTATAATCATGTGTTACAGCACCTAGTACTGTTTCTAAGCCGCATACTAATCAGCCTAATGAGATATTACTGCACTTTTTGTTGACTAAAGCAAAATCCTTTTTATTGTTCGAAAGCTTGTCCTTTACTTTATTTCCCCCCCAAACATTATCTTGTTTTATTGTGTACCAGTAAATATCATGCCATCTTTTCTCCCCACCCCCATCAAATCATAAAACCATCTTTCTCATTGTAGAATGTGGAATTTATTGAATATGTTTAATGGGACTGAAAGTTTTATAAATGGATTTCTATTTTTGTTTTTTTAAAAGGGAGATGAGCAAGATGCATAACGTTTCTCTTTTATATAGACTGGAAAATGTAAACAGGTGCAGTTTCACAGGGAAGGGGAGACTGAATGAAGTTGAAAGCTTGACGCTACTTATTTAAGAGCTAGATATTCAAATTGGTAATGTGTTCATTTTTAAATCCTAATTAATACATGCAATCAAAAATATGCGGGTGATGAAGGCCCTGTATAATTAAGAGAAAGCATAATCACAATTGTACACTATACACTTGACATTTAATATACACTCTTTTTTTGGTTTTGACTGCAGTATTATCACATGTAGTTTCCATGCAAAATGTTTTGGAAGGCTTACGGGTAAAATTGGAGTCACTTGAAATCTAAAGTTCTTCTTCATTTTTCAGGGATGGAGGAAGCCAGTTTGTGCCTTGGCGTTTCTTCAGCTGTACCCGAAGCTGACGCTCACCTCAACAGCTCTATTCTGAATGGCCAGTATTCAATGAGTCAGAAGCTGCACCAGATAACATCCCAGCTTAGTCATGCATTTCCAGAGCTTCAGAACAGGCAAAATCCAGAGGAAAAGCCAACGACACACCTAGAGGACAAGGGCCATCATGTGTCCATAGCAAACCAGCCCATTAGCAGTCAGATGGCCTTGCTAGCCAACCAACTCAACAGAGAGGTTGACACCAGTTTGAACGGAAGAGTCGACCTGCAGCAGTTCTTAAATGGACAGAACCTAGGCATCATGTCTCAAATGAGTGATATAGAGGATGATGCTCGGAAGAACAGGAAATACCCATGCCCCTTGTGTGGGAAGCGCTTTCGTTTCAACAGCATCCTGTCACTCCACATGCGCACCCATACGGGAGAGAAGCCTTTCAAGTGCCCCTATTGTGATCACAGAGCCGCTCAGAAAGGAAACTTGAAGATTCACCTACGTACTCACAAGCTTGGCAACCTTGGCAAGGGCCGCGGGAGGGTTCGGGAAGAGAACAGGCTCTTGCATGAGCTGGAAGAGCGGGCCATCTTGCGAGACAAGCAGATGAAAAGCAGCCTTCTGCAACCGAGACCCGACATCAAAGCACACCCACTTTCTCAGCCAATGCCTCTTCCTAACTGCAATTTGTCTGTGCCTGCGAACCACAGCACACCTGATATCTCCAACCCTGTCCCCTCCCCAAAGCCCGCCAGTGTCCAGGAAGAAGTGGTCGCCACCGCTGCTGGATTCAGATGCACCTTTTGCAAAGGGAAGTTCAAGAAACGGGAAGAACTTGACAGGCACATCCGGATCCTTCACAAGCCTTACAAGTGCACTTTGTGTGATTTTGCTGCATCGCAAGAGGAGGAGCTGATCAGTCACGTGGAAAAGGCTCACATAACTGCCGAGTCAGCTCAGGGCCAGGGGTCCAACGGAAACGGAGAGCAAGCCGCCAACGAGTTCCGGTGTGAAGTCTGTGGTCAAGTCTTCAGCCAAGCGTGGTTCCTTAAAGGCCACATGAGGAAACATAAGGATTCCTTTGAGCACTGCTGCCAAATTTGTGGGAGACGTTTCAAGGAGCCTTGGTTCCTTAAAAACCACATGAAGGTCCACCTGAACAAACTATCGGTGAAAAACAAATCTCCTAATGACTCAGAAGTACCTGTGTCCATCAGCAGCATGTCACAGGAAGCTCATGCCAACTTGTATTCCAGATACCTGTCCTGCTTGCAAAGCGGCTTTCTTCCTCCTGACAAAGCAGGGCTCAGCGAACAGAACCAGACTTACAGCAAAGGAGAGCTGCCCATGAAAGAGAGAGAAGTTTTGGGCAAGCTCCTGTCCCCCATTGCTGGCATTGGCCACAGCCTTGCTGAAGGGGACAAACACTCTTTATTGGGCTGTCTTAACCTTGTGCCTCCTCTCAAATCCAGCTGCATAGAGAGGCTACAGGCGGCGGCCAAGGCTGCCGAGATGGACCCTGTAAACAGCTATCAAGCTTGGCAGCTAATGGCAAGAGGAATGGCCATGGAACATGGTTTTTTGACTAAAGAGCACCAGATACAGCGGAGCCATGAAGACTCTTTGGCAAATGCTGGAGTTATGTTTGATAAGGAGAAGCGGGAGTATGTGTTAGTAGGAGCAGATGGCTCCAAGCAGAAAATGCCTGCTGATTTGGTTCACAGCACTAAAATGGGCAATCAGAGAGACTTGTCAAACAAACTAGACCCTTTGGAAGGCAGTAGAGATTTTCTGTCTCACGGTATGAACCAGGGGCTTGATTATAACATGCAGAGCCACAGCAACATGAAAGAAAAGCCAACTGAATGCCCTGACTGTGGCAGGGTTTTTAGAACATACCACCAAGTTGTTGTTCATTCCAGAGTCCACAAAAGAGACAGGAAGGCGGAAGATGAAATCATTCAGGGGAGCATCGAAGAACGCCGTGGGTCTGGGAGCGATCAGGAATCTCAGTCAGTCAGCAGATCGACAACCCCAGGGTCCTCGAATATTACTGAAGAAAGTGGAATGGGTGGAGGCCTCTCACAGACCGGAAGTGCCCAGGAAGACAGTCCACATCCTTCTTCACCTTCTTCCTCAGGTAGGCCGAGTTCTCTCTCTCTCTCTTTCTTTCTCTGGATGGAATAATTTGAATTTTTCTTCCAAACTTCCCTCTGATCGCAGATGGTAATAAGGTAGCAGTGCTTCCTAAAAAGAAAACACATTCAAAGTTTAGAAGTTTGGTTATCCTTAGACTGAGGTTTTTTTGTTTTGTTTTGCTTTTGAAGCAGCATTATCGTTTGTTTGGTTGATTCTTGGTGGTTCTGTTTTTCAGTGTTACATTTAACAGACACATTAATGGTAGTAGTAGGTAACGGTAATTGTTTAACAAGATACATTATTTATTGATTTTTTTTAAAACTCCATTTTTCATATTCCGTATCACATTCTTTCCCATGCAGATCTTCACTTTCAACTGTGAGAACGGTGTAAGCACAACATTAGTTCAAAAAGTTTCATATTGATTCATAAACCCTTGTAGGCACTGTCGTCACATGCATACATTGACAATTCAGTAGGATGGTTTATATATTTAAAATATATCTGGTTTTAAAGTAGAAGGGTATTTTTGCTTTTATGTTAATGCACTAATTTGCAAAGATGCAACACCATACTATCAGTGTAATGAAGATAGCTATAAGATTACTGCTGTTTACTTCTTCATTTAACCTTCCCTGTATGCCCAGCCTTGTTTCCTTTTGGCAACTGGGGCACAATCCATTGATGTGGCTAATTGTTTAAGGTCAAAGACCAAGGATATGCAGGGATTTGGGGCCTGTGGGAGTTTGAATGAAAACCGGTGCATACCATCCTAATATTCTATGACCCTTTGTAGGCTGTTCACTCATGAGTTTAAAAATACATGAAAGTTAGTAAGGATTTTCTTTTTTAAAAAACACACAATCCATTATATTTAGTGTTAACTGGATGTGTTGAAAAAGAGGGAAGTAAAATAATGTTTTGTTGGCACTATCGCAATATTGAGTTTTCTCAGCACATTAAAAAGAAAAGAAAGGTAAGATTTCTGGCCTCATCCTTCATTTCTAGACTCTTGAACTAATGGATAGTAAATTGAAAGTTATATCTTCAGCCCCTTTATAACAAAAGCACCTTCTAATATTGTAATCATTCTGCAGGCCTAACAACAGAGGAAATCATGCCATAACAAATACTCTGTTACTAATGGCAACATTGATTTCTGCAATCAGCCATTAAGTCTAGAAAATGAAAGACAGTTTGAGAGACCTTAAGGCATTACATTGCCCACTGTTAAAGATCTGTTAGCTGGCTGTTGAAGGTAATTCTTTTCAGACTCACCCCCTCCTTTAGTTTCGATAAATATTTTAGTATTGAAGGCAATCCACTGTTACAGTTATTAAGTAGATGCCAGTTTATTTTTGCTGTTCTTGTCATGCTCCAGTATCCTCTGTTTCCAAGACCAGATTAATATAAAAGAAAAGTGTTAGTTTGGGGGTGGCTTATTATAAACCAGTAAGAAACTCTTAAGACATATAAATCTGCCCTTTGCATTCCACAGATTCCTATAGGGCTTAATGCTGTTGTTTAAATACCCATGAAACACACTGACGACTCTTAGAACTGTAGTCTCATTTAGAATTTATTAGTGGTGAAACAAATTTGAAACCCTGTATGAGAATGAGGGGAACAAGGGACAGCTAATTTTATACTATGTGGTTGTTTGATTTGTTTTAAGAGGATTGGAAATCCAGTATGACAACATAAATTTTTTCTTTTCCACACAAGTTGCACTTGTCAACGTTCTGAACATGAAGGAGAAAGAGAAAATGCTTTTTTTTTTTTCTTTATGTAAGCACTGATTCCCCAAAGGTTGGTCAACATGTTTCCACCATGTGCTTTAGCAATGCAACTGAAAAACAATGCATTTTTTGTCATTTTTTTAATGCTACTCTCACCCTGTGAAGGTCACAGGGTGGGTGCTTTTGACAGCCTGCCCAGAATAAAAGTAACAATGCACCCTAGTCAACAGGGTTCCATAATAACCTATCCTGCTACAGCCTTGAAATGTGTCTGATCACAGAAGGGCTGGCATGCAGATTTCTAAACTCCTTTGAGCCAGCGTGGGGAGCCTGTAGTCCTCAATGGAATTTCAAAAGCCCAATGATCAGTTCAGACCTTCCCCCAGTAAGGAACGAGAAGCAAGGAGAAAGAAGGGTTGGGGAGAGAAAGGGATAAAGAAGAAAGGTGGTGGGCGAATGAAAGAGATGGAGGAAAATGTAAGTCCTACACACATTAGGTTCTTACTCCACCCACTTTTAATTCTGGCTCCACCCACATATGATATATTATCTTGGACAGACTACTTGAGGGAATGCTATACTCAATAGAGGAATCATTGCCTTCCCCTGCTTTAACCTTGAAGAATTAAAAATAACTCATTTCAGTTTTTTGGTAATTTTTTTATGTAAGCCTTGTTCAATCATCACCTAACCTGTTTTTTAATTCAAAAAAGGAGGAGCGCCAAACCCCTCTCCTGTCCATTTTTTGCTTTCTGTATTTGAAGAGGAGTGTGTATAGAGGAGAGCTTCTTGATCACTTGTAGGCCCTCCCGAGTGAACAAGAACCCCCAATTTCCTAGTTTCTTCCCCAGGTAGAGAGTCTATATGCAAGCAGGGACCTCTTTTCTGCAGACAGAGAGGAGAGGGCGTTAGGGCACCTCTCTAAGCCTGCTGGATAAAATCTGGTAAGTAATGTGGAGAAACATGAAATTATCTAACATGGTGTTCCAGCTTACTCCAGTTCCTCCCAGTAAATCAGTACTTCTGTAACGCAAGTTTTTCAGTTTTAACCTCAAGTGATAAAACATCTATTAATCTTCCTTCATCTTGCGGCATGTCGTAATATGATGGCCTTTGTATTGCCCTTACTTTAAATGTGCCAGCTACATGTTTTTGCATATTAGTCAGTTTATGAAATTTAATGTTTATAAAGATAGAACCCCAAATAGGTTCAGCGACATTTATCCCAGACTTGTAAACTTAGGTAGTGAATCCAGTTTTCAATCATGCGGGTTGGATGAGTAATTTCTAATTGTTTTCTTTGTTGCCTCGGAATGGAAATTCAGCATCTGTATGATGAACTGTGTCATTCATGCAAGATATCAAACACTAAAGCATTAAACTTTTTAACCAGAGGAAATAATGTTTCATTAATTTCACCTTAGCCCTTCCCATCCTACAATGCTGTACCTGCCAGTTGAAAGTTCCCTAGAAAATAAAAGGTAAATCATTGCATAATTCTTGCTACCTATGGATAATAAACCTGCAGAATACAAAAGAAAGTCTGTGATTCCTAAAGTTAAAGGGAAATACACACCGAGACAGCCATTAAGAAATTACTACAGAAAGCACTGTTTAACCAGTTTCTAAGCTCATACAACAATGTCTTAGAACTTAATTTGCATCACTCGATTCTTTTTTTGTTGCAAACTGGGTCAGTAGGGCCTGAGAAACTTTTTTTTTCCAGATCTTAACCAATGAATTCTTTTTATATATAAATTGGTGCTCTTAACATGATAGTAGTTCTGAATTCATCATTTAAAAAAAAAACCTTTATACGCAGCACCTCTTAGAACAGATCTCTAAAAGAAGGGCTTACAATAGTGGCAGAGAAGTCTTTGTTATCTGATGTAATTCTTTGGAAAGGGGGATTGGGGAATGGAGTGGCTGGTGGTTTTTTTTTAAATATAAAAAATGTCTAGTTCAGGCTGAGAAGAAGAAAGGGTCAAGTTTGCAATCAAACAGTTATTGCAGAGATGTGTGACTGTCACTGGCTGGGCTAATGTGGTATGCAGCTGTTTGTTATGTGAGTAAAAGAATGTTTGAATCAGTGAACATGTGAAAATGACTCCAGTGAACCAGAAAATGTGTTTGTTCTTTGGCTCTCCAAACTGCTGAGAACTAAGCCGAAGATCAACTGCTAAAGCTTGGGCCTTTTGACAAATGGAGAGGTCATATTTTCTAACAGAAAACGGACAAAACTGGTCACACAGATCATTTCCCTGTCTTTCGGTCTTTGTTTTCTAATTATTCTTACTGTTGTTCTCTGCTTCCAGTGCAAGGGGAAGCTGGCAGAAAGTACGTGCTCAACAGGTGACTGTTACCACGTCACCCCTTTACTTGACGTTAACTCCCATTGATTTTAGCTTGTGCATTAAATCCTCTTCCAAGGAACCCAACAAAATTTAAAACCACTTTTCTAGAGTTGTCCAAGTGACTGCAAATGCTTCGTATTGTAACAACATCCATGTTTCATAGAAACGGACTCCTTTACCAAGTACATCTAGTAACCAGTCCTGTTACTCCTTGTATTGCCCCTCTCTTTTGTCAATCATAGTAAATTGGCTTTATGAATATTGGTAAGAGAGATAGCTTATGACAGACTCATGCTCCACATAATGTGTGTGTGGTTGTCTAGGACTCTTTGTATGCATCTGAACTGGACAGATTTTGCTTAGGAATTAGCACACAGAATAATTAAAACTTAACGTAGTAAAAAAATGATACTGTTACTGCTAGTTGGAAATACCTTCTGCATTTGCCTATAATTTTGGTGTGGAGATAATTGAAGTCTTGATAGTATGAAAGGTGTAATTGAATGCACTGACCCTCCAGTTCATTAAATAAAGTAGGCCAAATTGCATGATCAATGGAAAGTACAGAGATTTTTAAAAAGGAAAGAGGGGAGGAAAATAAAATACTGTTAACTATAATAATTTATTCTTGTCCATAGTACTTCATGTTGACTTTGGCACAAATTGTTTGATCAGCTGGTTTGGATTCTTTTCAGTATTTCTGATATTTCTATGGCAGCAAACTCCTTCTTAAACAATGCATTTCAGCCTATATTTATGCCCATTGACAGAGCATATAAAAAGCTTTTGTGCTGGACAACACTGCAAAGATACAGGGCAGAGAATGTTATGATGCCTTTCTTTCTTTCTTTCTTTCTTTCTTTCTTTCTTTCTTTCTTTCTTTCTTTCTTTCTTTCTTTCTTTCTTTC